GTATAACCATACAATTCAACATCACCACAAACTACAGTCTCCAAAATGATCATAAAGTTAAATCAACTTCTCTCTAAATCAGTTTCAACTAAAAGTGAGCACTGTGCCCTTTACAATAGTAAGATTTATTGTAGGTTGTGGCATTAAGTGTAAGCATTAGTTTTAACTAGGTGGACCTACTAAACTGAAAAGTGTGTAGATAAAGAGAACAGTCAGGATTAGAAAAATGCCTTTCTGTTGTAGCTGATGGAAGTGTCCCAACAGATGGGTGACAAAATAAAGGAAAAACCATCAATTGTCTTAGTGAGGTGTTGGCATATATTCTACAAGTCTGTAGAACTGGAGGGATGAACACAGTGTGGTTGCTGTCTAACACGCCCCAAAATCCCAAATTTGCCAGTGTTCCCTTTGTTTTGAGATCTGGTGGTTGTGAAGGCCAAAGCATTTGATTCACATCATTTCCATACTCAATCAAAACATTCACTGCCCCCTCGTGAACAGTATAAACCCATAAACCCAAGATGTGACAACAAACGCGGGTACGTACAGTGGATTTTCCCTTTAAAGTTACCCAGGGCACAAGAATGTGTGTAAGAGAATTTGCAGAGCATGCACACTGTAGCTGTGTTTGCACCACAGAGTGCACACGAAGCATACTGTAAGTGACAGAAAGTTTGGTTGCCTGTGTGTGAGTATGCATTGTGTGTGTGAGTGGTGTGTATGTGTGAGGTGCAGACCGTGCCAGTACAGCCTCATGTAGGAGGAAACAGTTCAGCCAACTCCTAAAAAGATGTCCCAAATTATCCCACCACCGACGCATGTTCCTTACCCATGCCTCTGCTCTATTTTACCGCGCTCCGCAGGGATTCACTTTGTCGGCCACGCTATTTCAGACGTGGACGTGAGACAAGGCTTGTTCTGGTCCTGCTCCAGATTGGCTACGGAGGCAGAGCCGATGGATCTTAGCATGTCTGAACAAAAGTGTTACTGGTTCTCGTCTACACCAACGTCTGTTCACTGAGCGCAGATTGTGTCACTTGAGACTTTGTCGAAGTAAAAGGTTGTCGTTGGAATTATCACCCAGACTGACTGTTTTGCAGAAGCTCATGAAGGCCTTATGAACTGCAAATTAATACATTCAACCTTAAAGTTCATCTTGAAAGAAGCTACAGTTGATTTGTTTGGATATCCGTCAAGTCGATGATCCAGCACATACTCGGGTTATCACGAAGCCAAACTCTATCTTTAAATAGAGCTGTTTTTTTTGTAATAAAGAGTCATTGTTTTCAAACTGGTAGTACATCTAGTTTTAGTACAAAACTCCCCCAAAGTTTCAGCTTCTTCCTTGAATGAATCACACTGGCAGAAAGCATTTCCCGGCTCACAAATATGTATTTTTAAAACGCTGTAATTAGGGATCCTAATTACAAACCCTGGGTCATGGGGAAGATATGTTGTGACACAGACGTCGGAAATGTAGCCTACGTTTGCTTGAGGACGCCAGTGCTATGGCTTCTTTGTTTGGCTAGTTGATGGCAGACAGTTTCACAGCACTGGAACATGTTTGTTCCATTTTGGTCCAGTAATTTAATTATGGGACTGGGAAAAATGGGCAAGCAGCGACAGGCTATCTGATGAGGGGAGTGTCATTCCAACAATAAATGTAAATCAGGGGAGTGTATTTGAATTAAAACGGTGGGATAGTAGAGTGTTATTGAAGCTGTCCTGTAACCCAAATGTCACTGGCTTGATTTCCCTACAGAACATTTAAAGTCCATCTGGGAAATTCACTGAACCCAAACAAGCTCAGTTACTATGAGGGTTACTGATACGGGCAAAGGTAAATAAACTTCAGATTTAATTCATTAGATTGATTAGTCGTTCATTCATTCATTCAGTCACTTACTGGGCAAACAAAGGAGAAATATACTAAACATTAGCTTCTAAAATACAAGGATTTGCTGCTTTTGATTGTAAATTGAATTTGCTTTGGTTTTGCACTATTTCAATACGTCAGAAATTTGTCACAGGCATTTCCTAGTTCACTATCAGTCAAAAATGAATCTGGTGAAAACAATCATTTGTAGCAGTTAGTTTTATTACTAATCCTGTATGTTTCAGCACTGTCCAAACTAACCAGAAATGTTTTGTTTTTTTGGTCAGCAGCTAAGGATTATTTTCATTATCGATTAACATGCTGGTTTGTAATTATTTTGGCCCAAGTCAAACGATAGATTACCTTCAGACTTTTACAAAGCCCAAACTGACCTCTTTAAATCTTCTTGTTTTGTTGATGTTCAGAGAACATCTGATATTTTGGCTTAAAAAGGACTTTTAAACGAGGATTAATTGATTGCTAAATTAATTTAAGATTCATTTTCTACAGTTGATTAACTGATTGCTATCCATGTACATTTAATTTCTGAGTTCTATTCCCAGTTCTATCACTCATCTTTGCAGAGACCAGAGGTCAAAGGTCAGATCTGGAACTGATAGGATTTAGTATCTTGCTCATGGACACTTCAGTAGAGAAGTTACTTGCTGTCCCACGTGTGTCCGGATTAAAAGCCAGTCTACCAGAAGAAGTTAATTAGAAGTTAAAATTTCTGGTAAAACATTAGATTCTGTTGCTGTTTCCAATCACGGCCTCACTGTCTAGAGTATCATTTTTTTGGAGCTGACGTTGAGCTCGGTGGCATCAACCAGTGAAATAAAACTCTTAAATATCATCTCAGGAAATTTTTAAGTAGGACTGCGGTCTTGCCAAAGGCTTAAGGCCCGGCTCAATGGGCATATTTCGAACATTTGACTCGTTCCCAAAAACAACACCGCTCCTGCCAAGTCAGAGAGCTATGAGCTACACCCCATCATCATCCAACATAAACTCACACAACAAATAACGAAACCAATTGAGCAAAACGGAGGCCCCCTAACAAAGCAGCCAAAAGACATGTTAAGGTGGCTGCAGGGTGGCCAGGCTGTTGAGCGGTCACACTTTTGAATCCTGTAGCAGTAAATGCTTCTCAATCTTAATGTGGAAATGTTCTCTCTTGGCTGCAGGTTTACTGGGATGTAGAATCAGGTATGTGTAGCCAAAATTAACAGTATCATTAAATAAAAAGAGAGACTGAACACTGACAAAAGATCCAGAAGAGACTCAGGTGTATAAACAGATCTATTTGGACATCTATGGATTCTTTCCCACATTTTTCCCACTTTGTAACCTGGATATGAAATAACTTGATCTTTTTTGTACCAGAAAACCCTCCTGTGATTCTTTGTCAGATGCAAGAGGCCTATCTGCTCCCTCATTGGTTAAGAACACATTACATGTTAAAGCAGATGTTAAACCCTGATGAAATCGTAATATTTTACTTTACAACCGTCTTATTCCAGCACATTAACCTATGGAAAACAAATGTATGCCGACAATAACACTCTGTTGGTGGTATACTACAGTGCCAACCACTGAGTAAAATATTATTACCAAGATTTACTACTTTTCATTAAGTACTTAAACAGCATTATTACATAGTTATACTGCTCCCTGGATTGTCACACAAAATAAGGTCATTGCAGAATGAGGTTTTCCGGTAAAAAGCTTTCCTGGATGTTAGCTAACAACGCTGAGGAAGGTGTGTAATCCACTGAAAGACACAATATCCACTATCTGTCCAGAAAGCTAATGGTTTATTAGTCCCCTGGTGGTGAAACATGATCCAATAGTATTGGAGGACCCCATCTGTGAGACAGCGCCGGACAGCCAGTCGTGATTTACACAGGAGCCGTTTATGGAGCTTTTAAAAAAGACAGAGGAGCCGACATAAAAACAGGCTTATTTATGGAAGAGAGCAACACATGGCCTGTTGTGTGGATGCACACAAGCGAGTGTGTGTCTCTGGGTCAAAGAGAGTGGGATATAGGGGTTGTGTGTGTGTCTGCACGAGTGCTTGTTTACAGGTTTTGTGGGGTAATGCTCAGGAAAGCAGCGTCAGTGTGCAGGAATGACTTGTGATACATGTTTTAGTGTCTGCGTGGTAAATGCATGTTGTGTAAGAACGTTTTTAACCAAGACTACCCATTGTTTGGTCAGTGCAGAGCCTTAAAAAACAGTGACAGCGATGGGAAAATGGGCTGCATCAACGCCCACTTTCATTATTGATTAATCTGACAATCATTTAATTAATTGTTTATGAAATGTCAGAAAACAGACAAAAATGCCCGAGCTGATATCATCCCAAACATAAAGATAGGAAAGTTACGATCATAGAAGACAAAGAAAAGTAGAAAATCTTCACGTTTGACAAGCTGGAATCAAAGAAGGGTTGACTAATCAATGAATCGACTTATTGTTGCAACTAAAACTAAAAAGGTTGGTGAACAAGCTCAAGGTGAGAAAACATGACTGCAAAAAAAAAAAACAGCTTCAGACAAAACCATCAGCTTTTGTTTCAATATCCTCAAACTTACAATAATCTGACAGCAGCACTTCCAACAGTTTGTAAAATTAGATTAGATCCTTGAGGTTCTGTTCCTGCAAACAAAAAGAGCCAGACAAACTCAATTCCTCCCTCCAAACACAAACAGGTAAACTCTGCCTCCAAATGAAAAGCAAACACCATTTCTCGATTCCTGCGATGAGCAAACTGAACTCCCATCAGTAAAAAGCTGCTGCACTCGTCCTCGAGTTTCACTCCCCTTTAAATTCCTGCCAAAATCTTGAGCAGAGACACTCGCCATAGGACCCCCCTCCCTCCTTATCAAGTATGAATTACAAAACCCATCAAACCCCATTTCCTCTGAAGTTAGTGCCAGCAGCCTCAGTGCCACATCTCATCCTTCTACCTCCATGTACATGCAGGACTCCTTGACCAATAGGTGGCAGAGTTTCACACTGTATCCAGGCAGGATTGAGGAGAGAGAGCGGAGGAGGGTGGGAGGAGAAGGAGAAGGAGAGGAGAGAGAGAGAGAGGGAGAGAGAGTGAGGAGTGAACTCTTACTTGCAGTCTCTGTCTTCCAGATCAAAATGCGGGTTGAAGTTGATGAGGATCTTCTGACCGGGCTCAGGCGCTGTTATCACCCACACGCACTGCTGGGAGGGCGGGTAGGCGCCGGGATAGCCCGGGGAGGTCAGGTAGTCCGCGGTGTGTATCTCTATATTCCCTCCGCATTTATCTGCGCCGCAAGAGAAGTTAGAAG